GATTACAGGCGTGAGCCACCGTGCCCAGCCCCCTGTGAATTTTTTTGAGGCTACACAAATGTGAAATTTTGAATAAAAAGGACTGATGAAAGTGTTTGGAAATTCTTTTTTTTGTTCTGTTGTAGTTGCTGTGCAGCCCGGAGAGCAGCTTCTTAGCCCAGAAAGAAGGACCAGTGCTCCAAAGGCTGTCAGACAGGATGATGAGGTAGACCCAAACACACAGAGTAAGTCTCAGGACCCATTTTTCTTACTTATCTTTCTTTGGGGGCTTAAAAGTCATTCACAAAAGGGACTTATAAGTGGTAAGTGTGGACTCTTGAAAGTTTACACTAATTCAGCGCATTCTGTTGTTTATCCCGAACCTAAGGGAGATTTAGTCTGTGTCTTCACAATGCTTTTCCCTTGGCTTAAATACCCTGCCCCGTGCATCCAGCTGTCTGGGACCTGGCAGGCAAGCCAGGGTGTCATGCAGCTGGGGAAGCCCTCCCAGGTGTGCTTCCTGCCCACAGCCTGGGTCTGCACCCTTCCTCCGGGAGGCCCCCTTTCACCTCAACATGTTCCACACTATGGCAGTTACTATGAGCTCCTTGAGGACAGGGAACCTGTTTGTCTTCTTTGTGTTCTCAGAAATTAATGCTTGGCCTATATAAGCCATCAGCAAGTGTTTTTTGAGTTATGAATGAATAAATAGAAACACTAAGGAACTTGAAGCTGGTGTGAATACCCACATGAATATTTGGTAACTTGAGTGTCTATTTCAGCTATCTCTTTTGGTGGATTTTATTTTATTTTTTTTTTAAGAGACAGTCTCACTCTGTCACCCAGGCTACAGTGCAATAGTGTAATCATAGCTCATTGCAGCCTCGAACTTCTGAACTCAAGTGATCTTCCTGCCTCATCCTTCTGAGTAGCTAGGACGACAGGTGTGTGCTGCCACGCCCTGCTAATTTTTACATTTTTTTTGTAGAGATGGGGCTCCCCATGTTGCCCAGGCCATTCTCAGACTCCTGGCCTCAAGTGATCCTCCCACCTCAGCCTCCCAAAGTGCTGGGATTATAGGTGTAAGCCACCATGCTCAGCCAGTGGATTTTAAAGGGAAAATTCCTGCTTTTCTTATAGAAAAAAAATTCAACCCCATCTCTACAAAAAAAATAGAAAAATTAGCTGGCGTGGTGGCTTGCGCCTATAGTCCAGCTACCTGGGAGGCTAAGGCAGGAAGATCACTTGAGCCCAGGAGTTTGAGGCTACAGTGACCTATGATGATGCCACTGCACTCTAGCCTGGGCAACAGAGCGAAACTCTGTCTTAAAAATATATATTATATAATATATATATATCCATCCAAATCCCAGCTATTTAAACCAATTCTAGAGTAAGACATGTACTACAACGTTTCATGTTCTTTCCTCCTCATTCTAGAGCAGACATTTTACTAGCGAAATGGTGAGAATATGCTGATTGGAAAGAAAACTTTTTGGCCAAGTGATTTCTTATTCTCACTAGGGCCTCTAGGCTGCTGGGGCCATTTCAACTCCTTCATCCCAGTGTCTGGGTGAGAATGCCACCTATAGCCTGTCCCACAAAGATGAGATATGCCTCACCTGGTCGTCATGTCCTTTTCATGGCACACTCCTCCTTGGAATACCAGGAGTCTTATCTGTGCTCTGTGCTTCAAGAAACATACCTTTTTATTCATAAATGTGTAAATACTTTGGGTCTTTCTTGCTAGCTTTTGTGTGTACAGTCCTACTCTGGATGGAATTTTCCTGTTTTTAGTCTTAAGCATAGTGGTTTTTTCTTCTAATTCCCTGTCCAAGGTTTTGTAGTTGCAGAGTCACCCAGAAGCAATGGCATTTTCAATACACAGCCAGTTTTTATACGGAACCTCTGAGGCTCCTTCAGTCTTTAGATTGTGAGCTCCTGATTTCTTGTTGCCACCTGAAGAATATGAAAACACTCACCTCCCTGCTTGGCATTTTCTAGCTAAGTGGCAGCTTGGGGAGTTTCTCCTGCAGTGAGAATAAGAACAGTACTAACCTTACAGGGTTGGTGTAAGGATTAAGTAAATTAATCCATGTAAAACACTTGGAACAAATGTCAGTCCTGTTGTAAGTGCTCAACAGATGTTACCATGATTTTGGTTATAGTTTGAATTTCTTGCACTCTGAAATACAGAGACATTTCAAGGGTTTGGGTCAGAATGTCAGGCCCACTGGCTAAAGTGTTTCCAGTTCAGGTTCATGTGACTGTGTTTGTTCCTCATGGTCATCTTTTAGGCTACGTAATTCAGTCCTGGCCTGAGGAAGAAGTTTGATTTTTTGTTTTTTTTTGGTTTTTTTAATCACCTTGATAGGATATTTTTTTAAAGGTTGGCCAATAAATATTATTAAAGCCAACCTCATTTCTCTTAGCTTGGGGCATAAGTCCTTAAGTCCAATAAGAATTCTTGTAATTTTTTGTAATTTTTTTTTTTTTTTGAGACAGAATCTCGCTCTGTTGCCCGGGCTAGAGTGCCGTGGCGTCAGCCTAGCTCACAGCAACCTGAAACTCCTGAGCTCAAGCAATCCTTCTGGCTTAGCCTCCCGAGTAGCTGGGACTACAGGCATGCGCCACCATGCCCAGCTACATTTTTCTATATATATTTAGTTGTCCAGCTAATTTCTTTCTATTTTTAGTAGAGATGGGGTCTCGCTTTTGCTCAGGCTGGTCTTGAACTCCTGAGCTCAAACGATCCTCCCACCTTGACCTCCCAGAGTGCTAGGATTACAGGCGTGAGCCACCACGCCCGGCCCAATAAGAATTCTTTGTATTAGAAAGTTGCCTAAACTATTGAATCTCATGGACTATGGATACTGTCCATAGATAATAATACATTTATCAACTCAACAAATAATTTTTTAGAACATACAGTATGCCGCACTCAAAGTGAATAAGAAATAGTCCCTGCCTTCAAGACACTGACAGGCCAGTGCTGTGGTTCTTTCTGAGAGTGTGGAGTTTTCCTCAACATTCTGCCTCAGGAGTTCTATCAGAACCCCACCCCCAGCCCATTAAGCACCCCTATCCAGGGGAGACAGTGAACCAGGGGTTACAATGGGGTTCTTTGCATACTAGCTTAGGGACAAGCACAGAGTCCTAGGAGACCTCAAGGAAGCGAAAGAGCAGGGAAGGCATCCTGAAGGAACTTTGGAGCTGAGGGCCACAGGATTGCATTCAGGTATTAGCAAGCTGCTGCTGGCTGCATCATGGACAGTGGGCAAGAGGGCTGGGGACTGAGGCAGGAGCTCAAGTTCAAGACCATTGCAGCAATCCTGGCAGAAATGGAGAGAATCTCATAGTTTAGGTAGATATACAGGAGGTAAAATGTACAGGCCTTCAGGGACCAGCTCAAGTCCAGGTGGACTCCACATACTGGTTTGAGCACCTTTAGAGGTCATGCCTTCTGCACTGGGCACACAGAGGAGGGGTGGCAGGTTTGGAGTGTGTTTTCACAGAAAGTCCTTTCTTAACTGGTTGCTTGTTCAGATCCTCAGTATATCACCTCAGCCTGTGAGATGGTGGCAGAAATGGTGGAGTCTCTGCAGTCAGTGTTGGCCTTGGGTCACAAAAGGAATAGCAGCATGCCAGCATTTCTCACGCCCGTGCTCAAGAACATCATCATCAGCCTGGCCCGCTTGCCCCTTGTCAACAGCTACACACGTGTGCCTCCCCTGGTGAGTCTGGCCCTTCCCTTGCAGAAGACGAGGCTAGAGTGAAGTGCACAGGCAGCCCCAGGTTGGGCACGCTCCAAAAGTGAGAAGGAATCTCCTTTGCTCAGTTGCTGCCTTGCTGTGGCCACATGTCTCCTTGCCTGCGGTTTTGACACCTATCTGGTTTCCTCAGGCATGACATACAGTGGTAGATCATAGAAATACTGGATAGGGCATTACATCACTAAATAAGATTTTATCTGCCACTGATAGATTAGTGTTGGATGGGATTCTTAAGTAATTAGACCAATTTGTTTAATGGCAGACTAGCAATTACACCCCCTTAAGTAAGTATTTTCCTCTAAAAGTGGTCATCTTTGGAGATTATTCATGCATTTTGGCACAACTACTTTTACAATTCTCTTTTTGAAATTGTCTTCATAGTCAGTTCAAAATAGGCAGTCTTGATTAGGATTCTTGTTTCAGGTAACATAAAGAGCTTAGCTTAAGGAAGGTGCGGGTCGATGAGGGGTGGACTGTGCTTTCCCCAATGAAATCACATCGGCCTGCCAGCAGGCAGGTGTATTAATAAGGTGAGGGATGTATTCCTTACTGGCAAGAGTCCTCCTCCAAAAGGCTGACCTGTGGCAAGGCTTGAATCAGTAGGAACGGTTGGCCAGAACACAAAGCCAAGTCCCCAGGGAAAGTACTTATTTCTCTGTGTACATGTATGTGTTCATGCATGTGAGACTCTGGGGAGCTTGCACCGAGGAAGTAGTATTGCTCAACTTGGAGGACTGAGGAAGGTTTTGCCCTGGGGGATAAATGTATTCCAGATGGCGGGCTCATTCCAAGGAAAAGCCCAGTGTTCCGGCCATGCTAGACAGTTGCAGAGCAGGGAGTCACGGGCTTTCTGGGAGGAGAGCAGGAGGACTTGCTGGAGAAGCAGACTGTCATTGCTGTGCAGTGTGCTCTCAGCTGCCTTCTCTATGCACCAGGAGTCGGGCAGAGTCAGTGGCATCTGGTTCTGAGACAAGAACTGCTCCTTTGGAGGGGCTCAGGGAGACCATGCAGGAAGGCACAGCCTAGAGGTCACAGTGTCTGGAAAGCCCTTGAGGGCACACTAGCACAGGCTGCATGCTATAGATAAAATTCCTCCAGCAAGCTCTGCAGCCATACCGGAGAGTGCCCTGGTCTGCAAGGCAGCCGTGACAGGCACCATAAAGCCTCCCTCTGGACGTCCACCAGTGGGTTTGCGGGGAGCATAACAGATACAGAGCCTTTCCTGTGGTGCAGCAAGAGGTGAGCTGCCCATTATCACAGAGCCCTTTGGCCCACAGACAGACTGTGTGAATCTGGGGTGGGGCTTCCAGCCTGGGTTCACTTGGGTCCTCTGTCACCTCGTGGAAGGGATGTCAGCTGAGCCTGTTGCTGAACAGCATCGAGTCTGCCTCAGGAAATCCTCTGTGCACGGTGCTTGTTTGAGCATCTCATGGACGTGAGCTGCACTTCATGGAGTTTGCAGAAATGGACAGTATGGATCTTTTTTGTGCCTGCTTGCCAGGAAACGTTTGCATATGAGGCTGAACTTCACATAATGCTTGCCTTTGATTGGGCACAAGGTGTGTCTATAACTCCTGCCTACAACCTCTCCAGCACCTCCCAGCGAGCAGCCAGCCTGCATGGGGTGTGCGGCAGCATCTGGAGAAGGTGGCTCGGGGAGCAACAAGAGGACAGGGAAGGCAGACTTGGGCATGCTTGATGGGGAAGGAGGGTCTCGGGCCAAGGAGTTGGAGCTGTGTTCTGGGGAAGGTAGTGCACTGGCTCTTGGAAAGTCTAGGGGCACATGGAGGCAGCTGGCTCAGGAGGGAGGCCCAGCCGGGAGCAGTGGTGTTTCTTGGTTTCCTCACGATGTGGCTGTCCTGAGTCTGCTGATGTAATGTTCTTTCTTTTTCATCTGCTCAGGTGTGGAAACTTGGGTGGTCACCCAAACCGGGAGGGGATTTTGGCACAGCATACCCTGAGATCCCTGTGGAGTTTCTCCAGGAAAAGGAAGTCTTTAAGGAGTTCATCTACCGCATCAACACACTAGGTACTCTTGCAATCTCTTCTTCAGGGTCACCAGACATTGTCACATACCTACCGTGAGAAAACCCAAAGCTCCAGGATTGGGCTTGTCTGATTTGATTCCAAAAATGATTTGGGGCATGAGAATGATAAAAACCTATGTGAATACATTTTGCAGAGTATACAAAACTCTTTATTACAGTGAGAAATTAGATTCAAGTTTGTGTGTGTGTGTGTGTGTGTGTGTGTGTGTGTGTGTGTGTGTGTGTGTGTGTGTGTGAGTTTAATCCCAGGGGTTTT